GGGGGGGGGGGGGGGGGGGGGGGGGGGGGGGGGGGGGGGGGGGGGGGGGGGGGGGGGGGGGGGGGGGGGAGCGGGAGTGGCAAGCGAGGAAGGGAAGAAGGAATGAGTATGTGCGTAGAGTGGGCAAGGAGCGAGGGCGAGAAGCGGGAAGAGAAGGACACCGAGGAGCATACCGGCGAGGACGGCCCAGGCGTCGACCTGCATGCGCTCGGCCAGCTTGGCGCGGTGTGCGCCATGCAGGGCGGCCAGGTCAATTTCAAAGGTGCCGGCACCCATGGAGAAAGTGCTGGCAGCGGTGGTGGTGGTGGTGGTGGTGGTGGACATGGTGCGAAGGGAGGAGGAACGGGCAAGGGCGCCGGCGACTGTGCGGAGCTGCTGCTGCAGGCGAAAGGCCATGGAAGGGAGCAGACAAGCTGCTGGCGGGGAAACAGGCAAGAAGTGGGGGGGGGGCAGAGAGAGAGGAGCTGGGTGGGGTGAACCGGCTCAGGAAAGGGGGAGTGATCTCCCCGCTGGCTGCGGGCACGCTTGCCAGGGCGCTGGCACAAATGGAGCGACATCCCAGTCCCCGGGGAGGGGAACGCGGGTATGGGCGCGGGGGCTGTCTGCGTCTCTCGGTCCCCCCCCCCTCTCCCGTTCTCCGGGGAGGAGGGCCTCTGGCCGGGGCTGATCGCCCGAGATCGCCTCTGGGGCGCTGATCTCGAGCCAGCTGCGGGCGTCTGAGGATCCTCCGGGTCTCCGGAGAGGGGGCCAGGGCGGCTGGCCGGCCGGCCGGCCGAGGGGCCAATGGTCTAGTCATCTCACCCGCCGCTGGCAGACCCTGCCAGTCATCCCCGCAAAGGCCGGAGTTCCCTGGAGACCAACAATAACACCGGAAAGGCGCGGCCTCACGCCGGGCATCCCTGCCCCGTCCGAGCCGGGGAAGACAGGCCCGGGGAAGAAGCCGGTCTCGGGCCTCTCTGCCTGTGCGCCGCCGCCGCCGCCGCCGCCGCCGCCGCCGCCGCGACCTGGCCCGGAGCGGCCTGGGAAAAAAAAAAAACACCGGCCAGATGCCGGCCGGCCGGCGCCAGGCACGACCCGGAGCATCGGACTTTGGGGGCCGGCGTGGGAGAATGGCATTTGTGGCTTCCGGATATCTTGTTCTCGCAAATGTCCCCGGGAAATCCGCCAGCAAGGCCGGCCAACCATGACCCAGGGCGTCGTAATCCATCTTGAAAGCCATCCTCCCCTGTCCGCCCACCGAGGCAGAAGAACGGGCGGGGGCCCAGCACGGCAACGCGACCGCGCCGGCCGCACCGGCTCCCCCGCGCCCCCTTGTCGCCGGCTGCCCCGCGCCCGATTGGGGGCCGGTGCGGAGTTTATCGTCCGGACCTTAGCTCATTAGCCGGACCTGCGAGTGAAATGCCAACGGGCGCGGCATGTCCGCCCACCCAGCAGGAGGAAAGACCCCCCCCCCCCCCGCCCCCTTGGCAAATGGAAACCTTTCGGGACTGTCGCGCACGCGCGGTCCCCGGGGGAAAGCAACCCCGGCCGGAGGTGTGGCGGCGCACAGGAGACGGTGTTCCACCAACGCAAAGGAGCCGGGCCTAGGGGGGGGGGGGGTTGTATGTTCCCCTCGTCGCCAGCTGATCCCCCTGTCCTGCCAGGGAGTGCCGGTCAGGGGGGCTCCGGGCGGGGCTGTTTCCGCGTTGCCCCGGCGTTTGGCTGGGGCAGTCTCTCGTCCGGCATCCTGCCCCCCCCCCCCCAAGAGACAGAGCACAACCATCATCCAGTCGGGAGACCCACCACCACCCTCTCTGCCCTTTCTCCGCCCCCTCCCCCCTTTTCTCCCTTTCCAGCCGTCAGCCATGCTGAACGTCGCCGCCCGCTCGATGCGCCTGGCCTCGGCCTCGCGCAGCGCCGGCGCCCTCGCGCCTCATTTTGCCCGCCGGATGGTGCGCCCCCTCTGGCTTGTTTTGCGCGGCTTCTGTCCTCCTTCCCCTTTCCTCCTCCCCCCCCCTCCTCAGCTCCTTTCGCCGGTGCGACTGCTCGTGGCCAAGTCCCCTAACAGCCCGGAATCCCTGTGGAACTCTCCGCCCAGTTCGCCTCCAGTGCCAATGACGCCTCGACCGAGCGTCCCCTCAATGCCGAGTGGTCCAAGATGGCCTCCAAGGAGATGCGCGGTGGCGACCCGAACAACCTCATCTTCCAGACCCCGGAGGGTATCCCCATGCGGCCGGTCTACACGCGGGCCGATCTGCCGGCGTCGGTCTACGGCGCGGCTGGCGCCGACCTGACCCCCGAGCAGATGGCCACCGCTGAGGGCGAGCTCCCCGGTAAGTTCCCCTTCACTCGTGGCCCGTATGCCACCATGTACACGGTTCGCCCCTGGACCGTGCGCCAGTATGCCGGCTTCTCCACCGTCGAGGAGTCCAACGCCTTCTATCGGCGCAACCTGGCCGCCGGCCAGCAGGGTCTGAGTGTGGCCTTCGATCTGGCCACCCACCGCGGGTTCGTCAATCCCCTCCCATATCATCATGGCCATGCATGTGGCATGTGTTCATGCCCGCCTCGAAGTTCCCTTGCCTGCGACTGACCTCCATGCCAGCTATGACTCCGATCATCCTCGTGTGGTGGGTGATGTCGGTATGGCCGGTGTAGCCATCGACTCCGTGGAGGATGTCAAGGTCCGTGGCTCTATATGCATCCGGCGGGGGTGGGCCCACCCGGGAGGAGAAAAAAAAAAGACCCGGCCCACACGCCCACCACTGAAACCTCGCGCGTTCTTCCTGTCCCGTGCTGACCTTTTTTTTTCTCCCCCCCCCCCTCCCCGGGGAATTGCAGATTCTCTTCGATGGCATTCCCCTGAACAAGATGTCCGTTTCGATGACCATGAACGGCGCGGTTCTGCCCATCTTGGCCATGTACATCGTGGCCGCCGAGGAGCAGGGCGCCCGGCTGGATGAGCTGGCTGGTACCGTGCAGAATGACATCCTCAAGGAGTTCATGGTCCGCAACACCTTCATCTACAACCCGGCCATGTCCATGCAGGTGATTGCCGACATTTTCGCCTTCACCTCCAAGGTACGCATTCAGACGGGGCCCATCCTTCGCGACCACCGCCGGGGCAGGGGGCAAGTCACCAACTCCGGACCCGGCGCTCGGGCCACTCACCTATACTCCCCCCCCCCCCCCCCTCCCCATCCACATGATGCGGCATGTGCCCTTGCCTGGCCGGACGCGCGCATCGGCACTTGCAGAACATGCCGAAGTACAACTCCATTTCCATCTCCGGCTACCACATGCAGGAGGCCGGGGCCGACTGTGCCCTGGAGCTGGCCTTCACCATTGCCGATGGCATTGAGTACTGCCGCACCGGTGTCCGTGCCGGTTTGGACATTGATGCCTTTGCGCCGCGGCTGTCGTTCTTCTTCGCCATCGGCATGTCCTTCTACATGGAGATTGCCAAGCTGCGCGCTGCCCGGCGTCTGTGGGCCACCCAGGTGAAGAAGCACTTCTCCCCGAAGAACGAGAAGTCCCTCCTGCTGCGTACCCATTGCCAGACCTCCGGTGTGTCGCTCACCGAGCAGGATCCCCATAACAATGTCATCCGGACCACCATCGAGGCCATGGCCGCCACCCTGGGCGGCACGCAGTCCCTGCACACCAATGCCCTGGATGAGGCCATCGGCCTGCCGACGGTCTTCTCGGCGCGAATTGCCCGTAACACCCAGCTCATCCTCCAGGAGGAGGCCCACATCGCCAAGATCGCCGATCCGTGGGCCGGGTCCTATGCCATGGAGGCCCTGACGGACGAGCTGGTCCGCAAGGCCGAGGCCATCATCGAGGAGGTGGAGTCCCTCGGGGGCATGGCCAAGGCCATTGCCTCCGGCATGCCGAAGCTCCGCATCGAGGAGTCGGCCGCCCGCAAGCAGGCCCGCATCGACTCCGGCCGCGAGGTGGTCGTCGGTGTCAACAAGTACCGTCTGACCGAGGAGGAGACCGAGCTGGTTGATGTGCTGGCCATCGACAATGAGTCGGTTCGCAACAAGCAGGTGGACCGCCTGCAGCGGGTGCGTGCCGAGCGCGATGCCGGCCGCGCGGATGCCGCTCTGGCTGCCCTGGAGGCGGCGGCCGGCCGCCGGCTGGCCCTGGCCGCGGACGACAGCGCCGAGTATGATGCCAATGATGAGGACAACCTGCTGGCTCTGGCCATCGAGGCTGCCCGGGCCCGGTGCACGGTTGGCGAGATTTCCGCGGCCATCGAGCGTGGCGGTGGCGGTCGCTACCAGCCGCCCACGCGCATTCTCAGTGGCGCGTATGCCGACGAGTTCCGCGCCTCGGAGGAGTTGGACATCGCGCGCCAGCGGACCGCCGCCTTCGAGGAGAAGCATGGCCGCCGGCCGCGCCTGCTCGTGGCCAAGATGGGCCAGGATGGCCACGATCGTGGGGCCAAGGTGGTGGCCACCGGTCTGGCCGATCTGGGCTTCGATGTTGATGTCGGGCCGCTGTTCGCCACCCCGGCCGAGGTGGCTCGCCAGGCGGTGGACGCCGATGTCCATGCCATCGGCGTGTCGTCCCAGGCCGCCGGGCACAAGACCCTGGTCCCGGCCCTGGTGAAGGAGCTCCAGGCCCTCGGTGCCCCGCACATCAGCGTCGTGGTGGGCGGTGTCATCCCCATCCAGGACTATGAGTTCCTGCGCCAGCACGGTGTCATTGCCATCTTCGGGCCTGGCACCCGCATTCCCAAGTGTGCGCTCGACATCATGGACGGTCTGGAGAATGTCCTGGCCAAGGAGTCCGCCGGCTTGTAGGCAGATGAAGGGCGCGCCACGCGCGAGTGCGGGAGGGCGGTGGAGGGGGAGGGCGCGCGCGAACGCGAGCGACCGAAGGAGGATCTGTGCCTGTGTCCCTCGGTCATGGATTCCCTTTCTGCTCTCTCTCTCCCTCTCCCTCTCTCCCAAAGATGCATATACGTTTGACGCGCCGCGCCTGCCTTGCTGTGTGCTCCGTCTGGAGGAGCAAGCTGATGCACTTTGCCACCATCATACGCGCACGCACACGCACACACAAATACACCACATTTTCCTGCTACGTGTCCCCAGCTGGCCGTGCTGCCGTCCCCGTCGAGTGCGCACACACACGCATGTGCCCTGCCAAGCATACATGCCGCAGGGCAGGCCGACGCTGGTCCCATCAGAATGGACCCTCCCGGGGATCTGATGACCTCAGATCTCGGGCTCGCCAGGGACCACCAGTTGCCGGCCAGAGGTCGGGGTCCTCGGGGTCACCAGCACACAAGGCAACCCCCCTCCCCCCTTTGTGAGAATCACAACATTGTTTGTTTCACGGGCGGGGGGGGGGGGGGGGGGCAAAAGGCGCTGCTCGATCGCTGCCCAGGCAGAAAGTGCGTCGATACGGGGGTCAGCCGCGATGATCGGCCCGTGCCGGAGGCCTACCGTGGCAGGAGACACGCAGGCAGGGGGACAGGGCCCGGGAGGCCAGCAGGTTGACCTGCCACCCCTTCACCGGGGCCCGCGCCCGGACGGCGCACGCACCCAACCGGGCCGGCATCGGGCCACCAGCCAGGGTCGGGTGCTTGCCTGTCCGCGGGGCGGGGGGGGGGGGGGGGGGGCGCCGAAAAAGGGATCTGCAACAAGGGAGCACAAGATCACACACCCTGTTGCCGGATTGGGGCTGCTGTGCTGGAACCGGCGGTCCGAGCGGTGGCCGGTGTTCCACACCCACCCCTGAGTGGTGATGTGCCAGCGCCCCTGGGGCCCGGGCCCCGCCGCCCGCGGGCCACGCCTCTGGCCACCAACCCCCTTCCCCCCCCCCCCCGTCTGGTTGCCCCGGTGACCGGCTTGCCACGGCACCCGAGAAGCCCCAGGGCATCTCCGCTTACTTGCCGGTTTTTCCTTGGTGTCTTCCCCCTGCCGAAGGAGCATGTTCAGGGGGGGGGGGGGGGGGGGGGGGGGGCACAGCGCAAGACGCGCGTTCTCCCAAGGACGAGCCCACTTTTCTTGGCCCCACCTGCGTGCCGGAGGGCCTGTCCTCGCCCCTCCATACACACCCATCCATCAGAAAGAAGTCACCCCCAGCTTCTTCCCCCCGC